TAACTTCCAAAATTAAACAGGGATCTGGTGCCTTTAGGATATTTAAACCCTGACTGCAAGCAGTGGTAGCCTCTAAATAAGTGTTTGAGAAGCTGAGAGCTATTTGATGCCTCACATTGCTCCTCATGTATCATCACAATAGGGCATTGTGGGAAATGAAAATAAATGCTAGTTGCCAGTCATGAATCTGATCAGGGTGCTGAACAAAGCTTGGAAAAGTAACTTTTTTGGTTTTCAGTTCTCAGCATCTCCAGGATTCTGGAAGCTGTAAAAAAAAAAGATTTCCCCCCAAGATTTGGTGCTGGGAACATGGGCAAGTGTTGCCTTGTGTTGGTGCCACTAGATATATTTTTTTAAATCACTAGAGGTTGTCTATCCATTTGAATCACAAGTACTAATACTGCTAGAAAGAAAACAGTTGTGAGAAAGAGAGAATTTCCTCAGGAGTAAATTTTCCTGGCAAATGGCACCTTCTGATTTCCCATGTTACATGGCTTTTAATGTATCATTACGAACACATCTTAAAGCATTGCCCACAGACTCCTGGGAATTGCAGTTTAATGAGGGTACTGACAATATTCTCTTCAGAGACCCCAAATAGTCAGACCAAAATACATTTCCAGGATTCCCTTGGAAGAAGGAAGACTACTAAAACCAATTAAAGTGCCAATGTCCCTTAAAACACAAAGTCCTCTTATCTTGTTTTTGCATCAGGACACCCTATTATGCAAGACCTTATAAGAACAGACACACCATTCTTTCCCTCTGTGCTTTTTGCACAGTGTAACCACCAGCAGAACTTACCATTGACAACAATCCTCTTGCTTTCTACAAATGATTTTGCTTGATTGTCAGCTCTGCAAAAGTACCTCCCTGCATCTTGACTTGTGATTCCTGTCCTGTGCCAAAGAGCTCTGTGTTTTTTCCCTTCTGTTACCCAATGTAAGGATTTTGCATTATTTTCTCGAAAAAAATGGAACTCGATAGGAAAAGATCCTGAACTAACACTGCAAAGAAGAGTAAGCTCTTGACCATCTTCCACATCCCCTTCTGGAAGTCTTCCAAGGCTCACGTTACCAACTGGAGCTGTGGAGTACAGTAAAAAGGATAGGCGGCACAGAGGTAAACAGGTGAATTGTACAAGATAGAATTCATTTCTAAACAGCAATAGATGGCAAGGCATCTCTATCAATATGTTGTGGTTATTACTGCTGTTGTCATTACGTTCATCATCATCATTGTTATCATCTCGATTTCTCAGTCTACCAGGTACAGTAATCACTCCACATTCACTGGGATTGAATGTGGACACCCGTGAAAGTGGGAAAACTACAAATAAAAAAACACACTTTTTTAAAACCTGAGAGAATACTTCTCTAGGAATATCTAGGTCCTCCAGATCAACTCTATGGTCAACATTCACTGGAAGTGGACCATAGGATCGCACTGGACGACCTAAAAATGTCTAGAGAAGTGTTTTCTTTAGGAATCTCTAGGTCTGAACTGGAAGACCTAGAGATTCCTAGAGAGAACATAATAATCTAATCCATGAATAATGAAAGCTGTGAAAATCAAAGCCACAAATGTGGATTAGAGTTTTGGACCATCAATGATTCTATCCAAGTATCTAGGAATCAATGAGGTATCATTGGATAATGTGGCACATTCCAAGCATTGTCACTTTTTGTAGTTGTTCTACTGTGATCCTATCTATGGTGATTTCATTCAGATGATTTCTCTATTAATTTAGAACTGCTTCAGAGCACCTGTCACCACTAGAACCATAATTGTTCCTCTTCCCCAATGATGTTGAGTCTGAATTTGTAGATCACTCTCTTTGTCTTCAGTTCTGTTGCTCCCTGCTATAATGATGATGAAGAGGAAGATGATGATGGCAGGAATCAGTATGGGCTTATTTGTGAGTTCTAAGGTAGCACAGAAACTTTATGAAGTCAACACAGCCTAAACCTTGTAAAACCGCTGCTGAAGGCTTTTGTGAAAACAGTATAACATTTAACCTATAGTAATAAAGTAATTTGAGCCAGCATGATGCAGTGGTTTGAGTGTTAGGACCTTATCACACAGGGTCTAAAGCAGAGATAATCCAAAGGAAACCCAGACCTATTGCACATTATTTGTCCGTCTGTTCACACGACGTCGCAGGCAACCCAGAGACAACCCAGTGCCAATGCAGAGGAAACACCGTTCTTTTGGCTTTCGGGTTTACCAGGTATTGCATTTGCGCGATTGGATTAATTGCGCATTAACTCCGCTTTCGCAATACGTCTGATCATCAAATACGTATCCTGGAGCATTTCCCCATCAATTCTGGATGGGATCTTCTCACTTGTGTGTGAACAGCAAATCCGTATCCAGGATGCGCTTTCTTCGCGAATTTGGCAATTGCGCAATTACTCATATAGCGTGTGATCGCCATTTCCGTATTGTGGGGTCTATTCCCCAATGCTTCTGGATTGCTTCTTCTTTTGCTTTTCTTCTGCTTTGAGACCCCCGTGTGATAAGGTCCTTAGACTATGACACTGGAGACAAGGTTTTGATTCCCCATTTGGCCATGGAAACCTACTGGGTGAGCTTGGGTGAGGCACATGCTCTTAGCTCCAGAAAACTGGGATAAGTTTGCCTTAGGGTCACCATAAGGACTTAAAGGCACACAACAACAACAACAACAACAACAACAACAACAACAACAACAACAATGTAATTTATCTAAGGTAATAAAGTCCAATGGACTCTTATCCTTATCATGGGACATGCCTATTGTATGTGCTTGACTATAAGTCGAGCTCATGTATAAGTTGAGAGCAGGGTTTGGTGCCAAAATTA